AGGCGGCGGGCGGGGACCGGGGTCGGAGAGTTCATCCTGCTCTGGCCTCCAGCCCAGGGTTCCAGGGTGGCTGATTCGAGTGGCCCTGGAGGCGCCTGGCTTGACCCGGGATCTCTGTGCTTCCCCCTCGGACCCGGAGTCTGGGGGCCCACCCGAGGGATCCCCGCGCACTGGGTAGTTCCAAGCGCATCTTTTCTCCAGCTACTCTTTTTACCTGAAGCAGGGATTCCGGCAGTGCCCGGTGGCTCTTAGACCCTGTCCGTCTGTTAGCAGAGCCGCGATCCCGAGAGCGTTCGAGTTCTCCGGTCTGTCTGACTAGCATCGTTTCACATCCTAGGAGACTAGGGCTTTTGTGATTGCTTAATCTTTGCATGTAACCCTCTCCTACTTACAAAAAAAAAAAAAAAAAAAAGTTGTGTGCTTCCCCCACCCACCCCCATTTCAAAATTCATTTACCACGTAGAAGTTGGTCATATTTTCCATTTAAAGAAGACTGTTCTATGCTGCCATAGCTTCAAGCAATAAATTGAACACTGTGTTGAAATTAAATCTTGGATCTGACTACTTCCAGCGAAGCGAGGACTTGGTCCAACAGAGATTGTTTTCAAGACAGCGTTATTTTCCGGAACGGGTTCTTACTTCCCCTGTTGCTCTACAAATAAAGGGTTTTTAGAGGGAAAAGTTGACTGTCTTCCCATTTCTGAGAGCTGGTTCGTAGCCTTGTTTTACCCTTACCGTTCTTTGTAAATGTGATTTTAGTTCTGTTTCTGCTTGTTGTTTTAAAACAAAGGAAACAGCTGGCACCTTCAGGAAGGTGCCCACAATAAAGTTGGCTTCAGGTGTTAGACTATGAGAAAATAGAAAACTAAGTCAGAGTGCTTATTCTGGTTTTCATTTAGGTGTTAGTTTTACCTGTCATCATTGGTTGTGTATTTGTTTTGTGTAAAGTGAGACAGTCATACACTCAAAGTTCTTGCTAATAGGAAATTATTGTTTGAGAAAGCCGACTTTATGGGTTGGTTGTTTTGGTACCTGCTATGAAATTCTATGCCCAGAAGAGTGCAGTATATCCAAGCAGGGTATTAAAGTTTCGAAGGACTGAAAAAGAAAATAATAAGTTTTGTTTTTCAAAAATTATAAAAAGGTAATTTTTGTTTCAAAGTACATTTGTAGGTTGTGGATTGGCTTGAACTCATATACAATAATATTGCTGATTCCAATGACATCCTTAGAAATTGAGTTACATTCTTTAACAGGTAGAAACATGGTTAATTGGTCAATCTCTTTATGACTGTCTTTTGGAGGGAAATGATTTATTATTTTTAAATTATGTTTTAAAATGGGAGCTATTTCTAATAGTCACAGAAATATATAATTTTAAATTAATGTTAATAAGTATTCCACAAAACCAATAAAAACAGTTTTTAAGTGCATGTTAGAATGGTGATCAAGAGAAATTCTAACTTAATTCTGTTTCTGATAGTCTTTTAGTTTGAGCAGTTAACCTACTTACCGCCTGTAGTGGTAACATTCAAAATTTAGCACATGGATTTAAGGATGGTTCTTCTCCCAAGGACTTTGCATTTCATTTATCTGTATTGTTTCCAAATCCTTTAAAGTGACTGCTCTTTTTATTTCAGTTCACCTGTGTGAAGCTTTTTAAAAGATTTTCTTCTTATCTGTATTTCTTATAAGACAAAGGTTTATTGTAATTGAAGCATGGCTTTAACAATATGTTAAAGAAGTTAGCGTGGATAGTTGCTATAGCTACATACATGAGGTCTTCAAAAAGTTCATAGTACATATTATGAAAAAAGTATACATGGGTTTCAAAATATTTATTGTACCCAAATAAACTCTTAACCAGTTTTCTAGAAACACTTGAAGTCCTTTCAAATGGGACAGGGTGTTAGTCTATGATAGGTGGGAAGAGAAATATATATAGGACCACCCACTTTTGAGCTACAACAAGTTAAAAAAATCCGCATAGTTAGTATCTCAAGAGGCATACCAATCAATTAACCATACAAACCCCTTTAAAATTGTCACACAAAGCCTTGTATATTCATAATAAGGGGACATAGGGAATAGTCAATAATTAAAACTTTGCATTTTGTGGAAGCATATTACAGAAACATAATCTAACCCTTGACCTGATTTCAATACCACAAAGCACTCCGTGTTCTGTTGAAAAAAGCGCTTTGCACCCTGAAACAAACCAAAAATAAATACGGTTCTGGTATCTCAAGTAATGAAACCTGGACTCTCTCCCCTCAGTCCAGACTCCCTAGCCATATCTAACCCAAGATAGGCCATGAGAAATTGCTACTTTCTCATCATGAATAGTGTAATGTAAATTTGGCAACCTTAGTTTTGTGGAATTTTAAAATATTTGCTGTGTATCTTTCTTTTTAATTTCACTAGTCAGTTTTTGTAAAGTGTGATCATTGTAGCTTTTGCAAATCTGCTTGCAAGCTTAATTCTTATTTTTTCCTTTTGAATACTGAGGTTCTGGCTTTCTTTGACAATTTGTAAATTTATGTGTTTCAACATAAAATTTTAGAATCAAGTAATTTTCAAAAAACCTGCTTGTCATCAGAGATACTCCCAATGGTATAAAGAAAACTTTAATTTAGTTGGCTGCTGAATTTATCTGTTTCTAAAATAACATTTAACCAAGGATAGACTTAAATTTTACATTCATATGCTTAAAATGAAATTTAGTAATAATTATAATCAAGGGTACAGAAGGAAAATTGCCATGAAATAAATTGTATGAAAACTGTGATGAATTAGTATTTTTATAAAATTATAAGTTTCCAAAAATGAAAGTGCAAAAACATTTCTTAGAAAGTTTCTTGAAGGTATTAGTTAGAAGTTTATGGAAGAATTCTGGGAATTTTTATTTTCTGATTTTAAATTAATCTAATAAAAGAAATGAATTTAATATATGTATAATAACTATTGAAATTCTGCAACAAGTTACATTTCTGACAAAAATCTTTCTATAGGAAATGTTCTAATTGTCTTTGAATCCCAAATCAGAATAGGTTTTCACTTTTATTTTAAAAAAATCAAACTGTAATTGGGGCCAGTATGTGGTGCAGTGGCTAAGGTGCTGGATTCCCACATGGTCAACCATGGATCAAGTGTCAGACCTCGCCTGAAAATCATGTCGTGTACGTGTGTGTTCTACATCCCGAGAGAAGGGACTGAGACATGGCCAATCCCCTTGTGGAGTGATTTCTCACTTTTTCTCTTTCTGTGTCTCTCTGTCTCTCTCCAGAAAGCATACACACCCTATGGCAAAAACCTAAAACAAACAAACAAAATAACTGTAATAAATAGTTTATTGTGTTTATTAGTCTTGAAATTTCAGTATTTCAATGGGAACTCTGAATTTTACTTAAAACTTATTAAGGTGGAAATTAAAGTTGTTTTTTTTTAAAAGAATTATCTATTTCCATTTGTTATTTTTTTTTTCTTTATTTGATGAAAGAGAGAGAGAGAGAAAGGGAAAGTGAGAAAGCAACCCACAAGTTCCAGGACTTGAACCATGGTTGGCCATGTGGGAATCCAGCGCTCTTATCCACCACACCACCTGCTGGCCCCAGAGTTTTAAAAGAAACTTTATCAATGATACTTGCACTTAGATAGGAGTCTACAGTCATGTCTCTGTTTTTGCCCCTCCAATATTTGTTTTGAAACTACCCGAGTGGCAAATTATTTTCAGAGAACTCTAATCACTTTTGTGGGGGGAACAAAAGGGGTTTTGGGTATCAGTGGCTAAGTTAAAATGCCCCCTTGATTTCCTCTTGGTTGACCATGGTTTGAGTCCCAGACCTGTGATTTGAGGATAATATACCAGGCACTTGTGAGTGCCCCAAATCCCAAGAGAATGGAGAACAGGGGATTGCAATGTGGTTATCTCCCTGGGGAGTAGTTTCTCACTTTCCCTCTCTCCCTCTCTCTCTGTGTCTCAAAAAAGCCCTCCCCAAAAGATCTATTTTTGTTTTGAACACTAACTTCCTAAGTATTATCAGTTAACTTAAAAAACATTGTATTCCATGATCATTTATGAATTGGCTCCAAACGTTCAGAATGTTTCTTTCAGTAGAAACAAAGTTTTAATGGTGTTCTAGGTTGCTAATGTGATCTACAAAGACCCTATGTCCCAAAGGAAGAATAAAATTTTGGAGAATATATTGTTGCAATGCTAGTCATCAAAGTAGCATTAAATTAGATAGTGTCTTATTTATCTTGAGTATAGGAGCCTAAGATTTATTTGAAACAGGAGATATAATGATGGTTTCAAAAAGATTCTAAAACAACTTTTAAGATTAGAGAGATGTATTAAAGTTCTTAGGCGTAGTTTTCTTCCTCTACGTGTCACTATCTTTTAGTTTGAAGAATATCATTATCTTCACTTATAATCTTTTTTTTTTTTTCTTGGAGAGGTTTTTGCTATAGGGCACGTGTGCTCACCAGACAAAACAGACAGAGACAGAGTGACAGAAAGCGAAAAATCAGCCCCCAGGGGAGATGGCCACGCCACAATCCCTTCTCCTCCATTCTCCTCTTGGGATCTTAGGCACGCACGCACACGTGCCCGGTGTGAGTTTTAAGCCACCGGGTCCGAGACGCGAACCGCAGTTGACTACGTGCGAGTCCAGTGACATAGCCATTACGCTAACTGCTGGTCCCCACTTATAATCTAAACTGAAAATATGAAATTCCAAATGCTCCAAAACCTGAAATATTTTGAATGCTGACATAATGCCACAGGTGGAAAATTCCACATCTAGCCTCATATGATAGGTCAAAGTGAAAATGCTGTAATTAAAGAAAAATTGTATAAAATGACCTTCAGGCTATTTCTACAAGATATATGAAACATAAATAAAATTTGTATTTAGCCTTGGATCCCATCTCAAAACAGATCCTGGGGCCCTACCAGGTCGGACTCCTCCACCATCTCCAAGGTATCTCATCATATATATGCAAAGATTTGAAAATCCAAAAATATCTGATACTTCCAACACTTCTGGTTCCAACCATTTTAGATAAGAGATACCCAATAAGGGATACTCAACCAGTTTGTACTATTCTATTCCTTGTTTCTTTTTTTTTTTTTTAACTTGAATAACAAAGGGACTGAAAGAAATAAGCACAGGAAGAGGTTTTCTTGAGGTAACTGGGCAGAGATGCTAACAAAAACCTTTAGGGGCCTTGAAGATAAAATGTTTGAATTTTATAATTTGGGGAAAATGTGTTATTTCTACTGAGTGAAACAAAGAAAGTTTCTTTCCATAGCCAGAGAAAGAAAGAACGATGTTCCTT